GATTTCGCATGACTCATAGTTATGAATCACAGTGTTTGCGTAACGCAAAAGTATGAGTCACGCAGGGTGAAGAGCTACTATATAAAGGGTCACTAGGACTCCTAGTATTAGCTCTTCATACGTTCTTCTAGTTTCTTTCCTACCTTTATGTTTTACGAATAAAACCTACCTTTACACTCTTTACCCTTTATATCACGTTAGGCGAGAAAAACTATCTCTTGTCCCACGAAGCGTGGCTAAGTCCTACACGAGGACTTAAGAGGACTAGAGGAATAGGCGTGATCAGATAGTAGTCCGAAGACTAGACTATAGGTATCATGTAGGTAACGGCCTAAGAACTATTACCTCGTCAGCAAGTAAGGATCGTTACCTGTCGCACTCCTACTCCCGGTAGGATTCTTAACATCCAGCTCAAAATCCTGGCATGAAGAGTTACCATAATGAGTAATTAGTAAAGTACCTATGCAAAAGTCTTGGTGATCATACATCTCGGCCATGGCAACAATGGTCTGGTGTGAGTAGAGATTTTGAAATAACTCAATAACAAATCTTTTAAATGAGAAGAGATTTAAGGAAATAAAATATAAGACCACTATTTACATATTGATGAAATAAAAAATAAAAAAGTTATTCCTAGTATCTTGTATACCACTCCTTTGCTGCAATAACTACTTGAACTCTGTCTGACATTGACCTCCACAACTGCACAAAAAACTCAGAAGGTGTTGTATCCCATACCATGTGTAATACCTCAGCTCGCTTCTGCTTGACCTTCTCAGGACCACCAGGTATTGAAGCAATGTCAGGATACTGAATCTGAAGCCTTTTCTTCAGCTCAACCCAGACATGTTCTATGGGATTAAGGTCTGTTAAACAAGGAGGGTGTTCAGCCAACTCAATCCCATTTTGGTCAAACCAATCTTGCACTGTCTGAGCTGTATGAACAGTACAGTTATCTTGCTGGAAGATAGGATCACCAAGGGTGTCACAGACTCACTCCAGGACTGGAATAAGGCAGATTTCAAGCAGCTGGAGGTAGACCTACTGGTCTGCTGATTTCACAACTAAGGGAACAAAGATTCCCCTGCTTCTGCTCCAGAAGCATCCCCAGACCATCAAAGAAACCCCCTTTCCCTTTCCTATCCCTCTCACACAGTCTGGATGCCACTTTTCAGAAGCAGATCTGAATATCCATTTTTGCTTTGGATTCCTGCTCTTTTCCACTGAGCATTTATCACTCCAAATAACACCTTCAAACTCCTCTGCAGTCCAATTCTGGTATGCCTTAGCCCAGGCTAGCCTCTTCTAAGCATGCTCCAGTGAACGCTTTGCTCTTTTCTTGGCTAGCCACTTCTTAATGCCACTCTCCTTGAGAGCCCAGTCCATTGTAGAAACTGAGACATTAGGAGCCAGTATCTGCCGCAATTTCTCCCTACTCCAATCCCTGTTGAGCTTGGCCCCTCGAACTAATGATCTCTTAGCTCTCTGGGAAAGCAGGGGTGGTCGACCAGAATGTAGGAGGTTTTCAATTGAACCCTGCTGGAGATACCGGGCAAGGAAGTTCTGGACTGTTGACCATCGGCGGCCAACAATCTGGCTGACCATTGAATTTTGCTGAAAACCCTTGAAGAAAGCAAGGATCATGCCTGTCTCAACTCCAGTGAGCTCTTTGCATGATGTCTTGGGTGCCATGGTTGATGTGGTAGGGAGAATTTGATTGGTTACTGTTGTGGTTGGGTTGCATCACCCTCGCTTACCCACCTTTTTCGCCAAGACTTTTACTTAGGTACTTTAATTACTATATTCAATTATAACCAGAAAACAAGGGTTTTCCTACCCTACAACCCTTCTATCAATCAATCACCTAATGGAATAGTCCATGGCCCTACCCTACCGCCACTAAATTGAATCTCGGAAGGGGTGTGATACTCTATGTGTACTCGTAGACTGTTTTCATTTTCATTTTCTCCCTTCATTTTCATTTCCTTTCTTTTTTTACCTCCTCTCAAGCTTAATCCCCATTTCCATCTTACCTAGTGCTAGCCCGAGGTGAGCAAAATATCATGTATCATACTAGAGCAAAACAAGATAGAGCATCTGTACAATATTCCTAATGCATGGGAATCAGCACAATCTTACACAAAGTACTAGTACTCGAGCACCCACACAATTACCTCTCTATGGGACCCTGCACCCCTCCGAAAAAAAAAAAGACAACCATTTTGCTAATACCGTGAGAGACAGTTTGGGGGTCATATTCCAGTACAAGTACACTGCCAGTAGTACATCGTGATAGATGGGATCGGCAAGGAGAGCTGGTTTGCTAGCTTTGACGTCTGCGAGCTGTTTTACGATTCGGTCTGGACCCCCTCCCCCCCGCACCCAAAGGATTATCGGTCATGGCAGGGGCGCACAAAGTCTGTAATATGGCATGGATACTCACCTGGTGGTCTGTTATCTACTGTTGGTTAGCGCCCAGGGTTAGTAGGCGCCGAACAGAATCTGGCACTTGGGTTGTCCACTCTGGGTTAGCACCTAGATTACATAAGCCCCACACTAGAGTGGGGTGTGATCGAAGCCGCCAGGACTAGTTGTTCCGGAGGCATAAGACAGTGTGTGAGTGGAGTCTTCAGAATCACTGGCAGCCTTCAAGTGGGCTGACATTGTCGCTGTTTTTGGGCTAAAACCCTGTATCGGAGAAGGACTTAAACAAGAGGATGGAATAAGACCAGAGCAAGTAACTAGAGTGAGTGAAATACTTGTTGTGGGCTTTGCTGAAAGGCACTACCAGCTGTTTTCTGGTGCATTTATCTGTATCCAAGATATGTGAACCTTTATTTTCTTTTACTCGGAAATCAAGTTTTTCATCTTCTAATTTTCTTTGACTTCATATCTCCTGATGATGTTCTCACTTCTCAGCCACTTACTCGCTTTACAGTCATTTGTTTCACTTGAGTCTCTGGATGACCTTTTGTTTCTCTTTTTGCCTCTCCCAGCTCCGGGTTTCCGCGATGCTTATCCATGCAGGAAGTTTCCAACATATGTGGCTCTTTGGTTGCTGACACCGTGGGACAGGGATACCAATATTTCCGTTTATTAAGGACACACCCGAATACTTGTACTTGTCACAGGCAAGAAGTGACCGAAAACAGGGGTTCAGAAAATAGAGACTTTGCACAAGAAGACCTAGGTGGCTGGAAAACAGGTTATTTTCTGTTAACCTTAAAGTCTTGGACACCTAGGTGGATGGTGAGACCTGGGAGAAGTGTAAAATGGAGCTTTTTCAGACTTGGAGAAATTTTATTGCTGCAAAACAATAAATCAGCAGCGATACAATACATTATGACCATTTAGATGTTTTCTAATATTGTGACAGAGCCTAGGAAGATACTTCCTTCATGATCGGGGTGCTATCATGACATTCTTAAATTTGTAGCCTCCCCAAACTCGGATACCCCACTAGCGTGGCCCAAGATCCGGGATATTAGCCTACCGGTACTCATTCAACTGTCACCCACCCACCCGGCGACCTGCACCTTTTGCGCAAACTCATTCTTACACCTAGGTCTATTTTCTGCTAACCACCCCCTAGGTCTCCATGCGCAAACTCTTTAATATATAGTAAAATATCCGTGCGCGCCACATACTCCCGACTCGTATTTTCGGTCACTTCTGGCCTGTAACGATTATGAAGGAATATCTTCCTTAGTGTCATCACCTATCTAATCTGACCCCATTTACACCAACTCCAATGGAAAAAAATAAAAAATAGATCCAAGCCCTAACATCATGATTTCCTATTCACCAAGTTGACCTCGCGGACACCTACCGAACAGCGCACGGCCAATCCCGCCTAAATAAATACCTCCAGACATTTTTCTACTGCAAAATTGCACAAACCCACTAAATTAGAAACAATTCCCGTCTTGTAAGACATGATATACCTACAAAATTCGGTATGGTCAGTGGCGTTGTTCTGGCAACAAGGACAATTCTAGAGACGACCGTCGTAGCAAGGCCACCCTAATATGCGACTGCTGTACAGAAAAGACGCAAATCAAAAGTCCGCATTTTGAAACGCTGCCTAAGTTACGGTAGTGCCTCCGCCCCCACCCACCAGCTAACAAATGTACCTTGGACCTATGATATATTATATCACCTATTTTCCTGGGTGCTACCTCCACTCTCTACCCCTTCTACAGCTCAGGCAGTTAGCAGTTAACGCAGTTTCCAGCTGTAGTAGGGCAAGGTTGACTTACAATATTTGGATCGAATCTTTGCATCATTGGCATGAGCCCACACATGATTAGCGTACTCTTCAAGCTCTTCTGGAGAGAAGGTAATATCTCCTTCGGGCTGGCCCTTGCCCTGGACATGTGGGCGAAGAAAGACTTTCTCAAAGTTTAACATCAAGGACTCTTTGTTTGGTACGCCTGGGACAAGGTTGAATTTGCGCATAATTGTTAGAACAGTTCTGGTGGCTGTAGGTTGGCCCGGAGAAACATGTGAGTCCGGAACAGTGACCAATTCCCACTGCTGAAAATGTATTTCTTTCACCTTTCAGCCGGAGGTCTCGAACCACCAGTTGGCATCGACCCCCAAGCGATCACTGTGTTGTGAAACTCCACATTCCACAACGACCGTTGGCCAGTGGGCTGCACAGTGGTCAGGTGACGCTCCTTTGTGTGGGGTCTGGCTAATAGGCTTGATCACCACAAGCTGGTCTTGCGGTAAATACTAGGTGCTAGACAGCCTTACCGAAACGTAATTTTGTGACTTGTGAGTCAATAGCCCTTATGAAAGACTTGTTATCGCGGTATTGCTGGTACAAAGGTGTGGCAAGAGGTTATGGAATGGTTATTTAATGTTAACCAGCCAAATATATCCCTGTCCATTCCTGTTAATAGTTTCCTACCCTTGTATCATACTTGACATTTTTTAACCCCTCGGTGAGATAATAATTCATGTATGAGATTTACTGAACCAAATAGTTGAACCATTATTTTATTTTATTTTTTCTATAAAAAAGAAAAAACATAGCAGCAATGCCAAAAAAGCATTAAAACAGCCGAAAAAGAAACCGAACAATCAAACAACTATCCCAAGGGCGAAAACAATCCCAACAGGTGGGAACCCTTCATATCGGCCGAAAACCCTTTCAAACAGCAGAAAAAAATACCCAAGGCTTAAAACCCATGCTAACCACCAAAAACCATCAATGCTATCGGACCCTTTTTTTTTTTGTGCCCCGGAGTGCCAGAGGGCTTACTTCCTGGTCTTTGGAGGCAGGGTCGAAGCCGGCGTTTCGATGCTTGGGGGTGTAGGCGCGGGCAGGTACTTTCAGTTAGGTTAGCAATTGAGTTTTAAGATTTTAATAAAAAAATAAAAATAAAAAAATAAAAAAGAAGAAACAAAAGGGCTGCTCACATTTTTCTCGGCAAGAACTGCCACAACGGCGGCCGGGAAGTGCTTCTCAACTTTGTCGATAAAGTAAAAAATTGCCTATCAGCTTAGATTAGTACTCGGAGTGGCAGATAGGGTAAAAGAAGAATAAACTGCGTGAAGACTTACACTACAGTCGCACCCCGTTGTCCCGGACGGCCAAAATCCTGAGAATCCGTCCGGGACAGCAAGTTATTCGGGACAACAGGTTTGGTTTCGGTGTGAAGAAATTTATAATTCATAGAAACTCATCCGGGACAGCGAAGAATCCGGGAGAGCGAGGTCCGGGACAACGGGGTGCGACTGTACCCATAAACAGGATAACAGCGGTCAGTGCGGAGAGCTGCCAGCCCACAAGTCGGAACCCCCCCTCGAGAGAAGTAAAGTCCGCCCTGAGCTCCACATCCCGATTGTAGATGTCCTACCACCGGCATCAGCAAGCACTACTAGATTAAGAAGGAAAAAAAAAATTTGAGAATTGAAAAAAAGATTAAAAATTGAAAAAAAATTAAAAATTAAAAAAAAAAAGTGAAAAAAAAAGGTTATGAAGGAAGGAAAAGAAAACCTTGAGCAGCCCGCCAAAACGATTTTCAACTGCGGAAAGCCTGTCCCACTATAGAAAAGTTAAGAAAAAAAAAAGAAAAAAAGGGAGAGAAAAAACAAAGGAAGGGGGAACGCACAAGACGGTCCTTAGTCGTCTTGGTCAGCTCAGGCTCAACAGGTTGACCAGTCGGTCCCCCCGCTGGGTGGTTGACGCTTCTGAAACCGCCCTAAGGCCTGGGGCCGCCCACCATGCTTGCGAGAGGTCGCGTGCGCGCCATGCGAGTTGCCCCCATTGTGCGGAACATGCTTGTCGTGATGAGAGGGGGAAAGAGAAAAGGAAAAAAGAAAAGGAAAAAGAAAAAAGAAAAAAAGAAAAGGAGTCGGAAGCAGGAGTTTGGGGTCGAGGAAAGAGTGGCCAAAAGAGGTAAGGAAGGAAGAGAGGAAAGGAGGGGGCGTGCAGGTGCCTATTCATAGCCCACCTGTCGGCCAAAGTTTAGCCAAGCCAACAGGGGTACCTTGGCGAAATTTTGGCCGACAGCAGTCACACAAAATAGGGTTGGGTCACTCACCTCAACAGCCTCCGGTCGAAAAAATCGGGAATGACAAAACAGCTTCCGGGGCTCTGATTGGAGCGTTCAGTGTGCTCGAGCCAATTGAATAACCGTGTTTTGAATCTTTAATTTCCACAATTCCCGATTTTTCGACCGGAGGCTGTCGAACCATTGCCTAGGGGCCTAGGCAGGTCAAGGCCCTCTCCACCACACCAATTCGTCCCCCGGAACCTCTTTTGCACTTTGGACATTTGATGAACGCTCCACGTTCTGTGATCTACGTTGCGCATCCAACCTCTGGTATCAACTACGGGGATCGTTGGCCCACTCAATCACACCCCCATGCTGGCTGCTGGAACGGGCCTCCTAGTACCGCCGTGCGAGGACGATGGTGCTGTTAAAGCCAGGAAATCCCTCAATCGCCGAAAACATATGATTAGTACCCATTGCCTCCTATTCCCATTTCCGCTTCAGTTGCCCCCATTCGGAAGCCCCGCTTTTCATACAATTGCCTGTAGGCAGGGGACGGAAGCTCCATCAGCTTGGAATGTACGGTACGGGCGATATATTTCATGCCAGTCTAGGAATCTCCAGAAATACCAGGCTATTAAGCCGGGGTGGTGGGGGGCAGGGGCTGCGGGGTTTATACACTTGGTCCTTGTTGAAGGAAAGGGTCTGTCGAACACTCGCCGAGTGGCTAGAGGCAACTGGGCCAACCAGAGGGTTCGATAGACATACCCTTGATACCCGGTACATTAACCATTACTTTGCCCCAGCCTGTTCCACCATACTCTCCAAAATACATTTTCAACAAGCATTTCCGAGGACTAAAGACGTGGTTCACTCCCTACGCGATCGGCCCCTCCCTGGTGTTCCCGGGAGATGGACACCAGTTTCGTCCGTATTCCTGCTCCGCCATCTCATGGTTTATGCCTCCTCCCATCCCGCCTGTGGGGAATTGTATTTTGGATTCTTGTTACTCGAGTACACCGGTCATCTGTATACCCGTAATTTTCCGACGTTTGTAAAAATGACTAGCTCCGCGTATGGTAGATGGCTCGGTGATATCAGCAGCAACAACGCATAAAATTGAAAAACTTGACCCAAATTAAGTACCTGCGAGTTCCCTTCCCTGTGGGTTTCTCACCAGAACAATACCGCAAAGGTACTTGAGTTCGGGTCTGATGCATGGCCATATGCGGACCCAGTCATTTTTACAAACGCCAGAAAATTACCAGGACGATGGTGACAACAGATTCTCCTCCCATCACAGACGTACTGGAAGTGTGACCAGTTACGATGCTCACCCCGGTAACCCTATTCCTTGGGGCGGTGAAGGAAGCGCGTATAATGGAATTGGAGGACACGAACCAGTGGCATGGGCGAGAATAGAACCCCCTCGGGGTTAACCATGCCCATCGCCCCGGATGTGGTTTATAGCTACAGGGGAGCGACGGTGGAGGGGGATCTTTTCTGCATTTTCCTTTTGTCTTCCGGTATCCTTTTCCACGTTTTCCATTTCCTTTCCTAGCTAGGCTTTCCTTTTGACCCGAGTGCGGATGGGATGGGTTATCCCATTTTGCGGCATGGAACAATAGAAAATGGCTTTTCAACCTCTATAACATTGAGTACAAATGGGGACATCTTGCATTGGGTTCGCGGCCGATCCGAACAGGAGATTTAATCAGATGAAGGGACTTGGGGAGGACGAAGAAGTCATTGATATATAGCTATTAGCTTCCTAATCGGGGCTTTGTGCAGCCTTATCACTGGCTTTGTGCGGCCATTCCATTGGTTTTCGCGATCGTTACCGCGCATCCCGTACTCCTTATGATAGCCGCGTCCGCTCTCCCGCTCCTCGTCCGGATTGGGACGTGCCTGTGGTCTAATTACTCTATATCAGCCTCATTCAGCTCTACTACCCGTTCAAAGGCATCCGGATGCCGTTCGCGCCGAAACATCCAAATCTACGCTCAGGTGCTCGAGAACGGGTACCGGTCTGGTGGGGGACCACGTCAATACATGATTCAGTGCGTATCTGTAGAATACCGTATTTGCTGCAATAATTGAACCATGAGCTAGGACGTTGGAGTTGCCTTTGCTGGTAAGGTGCGGTGCCCTTTACCACTTTTTTGTCCTAGGCTGGGACTGAGGGAGTCAACCTTTGCCAGCGTTTTCACCCCCTATCCGAGAGAGGGAATTTCGGACGTCCTAGCGCCCGGTTCAATTATTCCAGTAAATGCGGTATACAAGTATCTGGATGGTACAGTATTATTATGCAATAAGAGATATCACATGGCCACCAATACCATTGCTTAGCCACCTAGGTCAACTGTTGAATCGTAGCCTATAATACCACGCTGCGCCAGGCTGTAGAAGTATTTTACTGGGAGGTCTCGATGAATATCAAGCGTTGCACCTGTATTGACCTCACGCAAGGCTAATCTGTGGGAATCGAAGCTAGGTGATATGTAGGAATTTCCGCTGGCTCATTCGAAAGGCTTGATGGCCTGCTGCTCTGATCGCGTGCCGCCTTGCGAGGACGATATCGCTGCTATAGCCCAAGGTCCGCCGGCGCCGGCGCCTCCTAAGACCTGGGGTGGACCACCCTCTTCACTACCCTACACCAGATAATCGAACCCTCCAGACGAGTGACCCCCTGTGATGCCAAGGGGTTCTTGAGGTATTGACTGCCAGTAACCCCTCCGCTAGTAGCCAAACTCTCTCGACAGCTGAGCGATGGGCCACATCACCTCACCCCTGTAACGTGTTCACGCCGGGGCGCTAGTCACGCTGCCGTGTACAATAGGAGCCGAGTGTTTTCTTCCGGAGAGTAACAGTCTGGGCTCGCTAAGGGAGGCTTCGGTGGTGTAATAGGAAAATAGAAATAACCGTTCAACCGAGTATATTAGAATACTAACTGTCGAAGTCTGCCGTTTCCAAAGTGGAATACGGCGGTCTTTTTAAGTACATGTGTTTGAGTACGATCATGAATTCTCACTCATGTTCTTACTCAATCAAAGCATAAAAATAACCAAGTATCAACCGATACTTAAAACAAAACATAAAACAAACTAAGTATCAACCGATACTTAAAACAAAACATAAAACAAACTAAGGTAACCGAGTTCCAGCTCCGGTTACAACCCCGGAGATCCGGCGAATGGCCGGATCTACAGCCCCAAGTCGTAAAGATTGGGAATGCGGAAATTAAAAGTCGGAAACACGGTTGCTCAATTGGCCCGAGCGCACCCAACACCCCAACCAAAGCCCCAGCAGCCTTTTCGTCATTTCCCGATCCCCCCCCACCAGGAGCTGCAGCAGTCTCTCCAAGAGCCTAATACTAGTACCGTACTATACCTCGGAGCATCTAGCTTGTGGACCAATTATCATACTCCAGGTATTCTAACAGGTTAGGCCCTACCCTGGTCGAAAGCCCTGTTAGTATGCTCGGTCCCCTGTCGGCAGCTTGGGGAGTATGCCGGGGGGTCATCCCAGGCACGGGCAGGAAGCCATCGATGACCTGCTTGGTGATGCTGGAACGGATTGTACATTCTCACGCCCCTGTAGCACACATTCGCATCAGCGGGGTAGGTTGCGGGACACGTTCAACGGCCCGAGTAGCGAAATACAGCGCAGATACGGGCGACGATAGAACAGTAGCGGTTGGACATGGGATACGGCGATCGCATAACAAGACCTTTAGGTGAGGAAGGATATGTGCTTTGTACTTGACTAACTAAGGGAAAGGCCAGGAGTATATGAGAAATCAAACATGACTCCCCGGTCCTTCCACCAGTCACTACACATATCCCCATCCTCCTCCGCATATGTCTCCCTTTCCGATCCGTACTCCCAGGCTAACAAAGGAAAGATCCTCTCAAAGAACTCTCACTGCTTCCTAGCCTTCACGCATATGCTACTTCTACCTTGTTTCCTTCCAATGGCTTCCATACTTTCCAGCGATAAACAACGACACCGGATAATGACGATCTCTTTCCCATGCTCGTACTTTCCAACGACGATAACCTTCCTCCGGCGGCTGTAGGTGATGACCTTCCAACGGCTACGAGTAAGGACGGCGGAGAGCGACAACAATAGCAAGCATACCGAGCAGCTACGGCCTCCAACATTGGGATGGGAATACCAGGGCGGAAAGAGACGCCTGATAGAGAATGGATATGTGTGATAATAATTGGAAGGATCGGAGGATGGCCCCGTTGCACTTTACATCTCCTGTATTTTAATATTAGTCAGCTAGGTGGCACGAAAAGAGAACCCAACTACTCACCGAGGGCCATACTGTACGATTTTGAAGCATCCGGCGGACGGAAGCTAGGAGGGTCGGAAGTGTGGAAGCCGTGAATAGTGGGACCTGTCCCTACTTTGTTAGCATGAGAGTACACAGGGGAGAGGGAAACTGTAGAGGAGAATGGAAAGAAAGGGGGATGGCCGGCAGACGACCAAATTGCTCCTCTGTTTCGGCGCCTGTAGGGTTCCGGTTGCTGCACAGGTTGTTGAGGGGAATGCTTAAAGCCCCTCAGTTTGTTGACATCCTACCGTGCCTAGGAATGGTTGCCACCCGCCACCCCCACTGTAACGGGGGCTCCCTTAGGTAGATGGTTCCTAAGGATGCGACTGCACCAAACTTCGAATCTCTCGAATACAACTCT